AAAAAGAATCAATTATGAATCACATTAGATTTGAACGTCCAATCAGGGAAGACATGAGATTCAAAAGAACCAATCAGGAATCACATTTAGATTTAAACATCTAATCAGAGAAGACCTGAGATTCAAAAGAACCAATCAGGAATCACATTTAGATTTGAGCATCAAATCAGGGAAGATTCAAAAGAACCAATCAGGAATCACATTTATATTTAAATGAATCAATCCAATCAGGAATATCATTGAATTCAGTAAATTTGATCATGATCTCATTTTGAGAAACCTTGCTATGCTTAGCATATCAATATTAGATTTCATTACTGTCTTGTGGAATAACTAATTATTATATTTGCATATATTATTACTAAACATCAAGTTCTGTGAGTTACAAGTATACCTTGCATGCATAATTATTTGAAAGTTTTTATTTCAATAAAAGATTTTATATAAAATTTGGTATATAATGTTGTTTATTTGTAGCGACAGCCCGGGTCATGTTGATACAAGTTCACCTGCGTATCAGTCTGTCCATGGATCTGGTGGTCCGGCATACGCTAATCCAACAGCCCAGTCTAGATCTTTTAAAATGTTACAAGATATGACTGAAGAAGATGGCGGCGGCGGTGCTGGTAACTATGGTACACCCCAAGGTTAGTCATCCATGTAATTGCCTCCACTTGAAGTTGAGTCAGGTCAGGTCGGGTCGGGTTGGGTCGGGTCAGGTCAGGTCTTGGTGGCAGTCGTTAGTATTGCCAAGAAGATAAATTTTCACTATTTGTATTGTATTGTAAGTTTGTAAAAAAAATGTTACTGTTTCCTTTTCTTCTCTGTTTCGAAGTCTTTAGAATTTACAAAATGTATGTGCTTTCTATTTGTCTGTCTTTGATTTGCTTTCTTAGGCATGACTCTGGTAAGTTCAATCTGCCATCTATCATTTCTTAGATATTTTTGTCTATGTCTTGTAAAAACTATGGGCAAAGGGTAGTCCATCAGATATGCTGCCCTGATGTGTATGTTATCCATAAAAAAATGTCCTTAAAAATCAATTTATGCTAAAAGGTCTGATAACTTCAGTAAAATAAGAATTTGATGCTCTTTGAAGATCACTTAGAAAGTTTTTCTGTGAAGATGGTTGAACGTAAATCTTTAGGAATACATAAATTCTGCTAGATCTTCCCCATTTGTCACTATATCTCATCGTACCTTTATTTTCATCAGCCCTTGGTAATACTGAGGGAAAAGTTGCTCATCACATAAATGATTGAAAATTGTTATCCCAATAATTAACTTCATTATTTAACTGCATGTTGCGTGTGTGTGTGATTTATTGCATGTTTATTCCAATTGTCACTTTCTTGGAACCTTGGTTTTCCCAGATATTGCAGCGTTCTCCCCAATTAATGCATGGAGACAAAAAATCAAAATACTGATGAAAATGAAACTGTATTCATAGCACAGGAAGTTCTTTACTTTGATAATTAGGAAGTGGAATTATGGTGTTATGTAATTAGTACTATTTACCATTGTCTATTCTCCTATGTCATTTAAAAAATGTCTAACCACTAGATGGTGCTAACAAACTACTAGAGGGGGGTATCTAATTATCCTTGTAACTTGTAGCTTGAGTCAGGAAATTATTGTTCATTTTACAGTTAGTTTAACTTTTTGTTAGTCAGGGGAAATCATGAATTGTTGTAGCAGTAGACATTTGACTAGGACCGTTAATGCAGTCATAGTGACTTTT